CCGTGGAGTCTTAAAGCAGGTGATGATGTGTGATTTGCATAGTTTGCTTTGCCGCCTCTTTCTGAGCTGGGCAGAAGGATGCACTTGTTTTAAATCAGACTACCGGATCAGGCTGGGAGCTGCGGGGAAAGAGGGAAGAAGGTCCTCTGAGAAAACATTGTCCTGCCTTGTTTATAATCCAATCCAATTGGCTTATCTAAGAACTGACTGGAGACCGAAATCACTTCCCAAAGCTATCAGCATCTAGCAGGTTGCTACGATACACAATCAAGTTTGGTTATTTTTATTATTGCTTTGCTGCCTTCTGTGCGTCTAACAACATTACAGGATGCCTTCGCGGTCTCACCTGTTCCTCTCTCCAGCAGTGATGCATAAATATGTCCCCCATGCTTTGAGGGGAGAGGTGCATTCTCGGCACTCCGGTGTCATTTGCTAGTTGTGTTTGCACGTGTCCCTGCCAGGAAAACAGAGCTGGTGTTGCATTCGACGGGCGATGCGGCCCAGTGCTTCCCCTCCAAGAAACCGAAGCACTGTCCTTGGTGGGTTTCCCTGAGATACTGCGATCTTTCCTGCAAGAGAGCCAGATGCTTGCAGCGACAGGACGAGCAAGACCCCTACCTTGCCATCCTCAGTTAGATCAGATATAGGCTGATTTTTTCCTTCAGGGCATTGTGGTTGGGACACGGTGCCTCTGGAACAAGTTTTGTCCAAGGCTTACACACTAACAGGGATTCTCAATATCCATTCATGTCACACTGGAAGAGGCTCTGAACATGGTGGTGTTTTTCAACCCTGATATACTCGTAAGCACACAGGTGGTGCTGCTTAGCTAGGAACACATTTGAAGTAGGAATGAGAAAACCAGGGAGGTTTCAACTGACTGGGATTCTCTGAACTTGCTTTCCGAGCTTGATTCATCTCACACCTGCTCCTCTTTGCAAGATGGTTTTTTTTTCCCAGTTCTTTTGAATGGGGAAAGATTCCATGTTTCAAAAGTGGGCACTAACCCCATTGACTAAAGCGGGGGGAAATGAGTTTTAATTGTGTATTTTAAAAATGTACACCTTTAAAATTCACATCTTTAAATTGTACATTTTTAAAGTGATCTTTTTTTAAGTGCCTTTTTAATATATCTATTTTTAAAAGTACTAACTTCCATTGAAGCATAACAATAGAAATATTTAATGCACATTTTTAAAAGGCACAACTTTAACATTGCTTATTATGTGAGTTGCACTTTTTTAAAAGTTAGGGGTGTGTGTGTGTGTGTGTGTGTTTCAAAGCACAGATTTTGCAGGCATTGATAGAAGTTTTTGTAAGCAGTTTTGGAGATCAGGTGCTTCCGTTCAGCACATTCTACTCCAAACTTCTTCCCGCATTTGGTACACAGACTCCATCTGGCCCTGGTTGGAGCACTGTCTGTGCCCATCCTTGCTTTTGTAACCCACGGAATTAACTGTCCCAATGCAATTTTCCTGGGGCTGCCCTCAAAGAGGACTGGGAAGGGGCAGCTGGTGTGAGATGCTGTAATTCGAATAAATACGGAGAGGGGACAAAATGTTCCACAGTAGCTGCACCATGTCTGTCAGTCAACCTTCTTGGTGGCCTATGAAGGAAACACCTTCATAGCCTGGAACTAATGTAGTGTAATCCACATCTCACATTATATACTCAATTGATCCAGAACCTGCTCTGCATGCACTCCTTAGAGGAGGTCAAAGCATGAACTGCAAAGAGAAAGGTCTTCACTTCAACTTCCCTGCAGATTCGAAATGACTTCCTTACCAGGGGCAGAATCTGCCTTTCCCTTCAGAAGGGATTTTTCAGAAATTTCTTGTGTGCTGAGGCTTCCTTCATATGAATTGGCCCTTCCAATCACCTACTCATTTATCGATTCTCAATATTTTTACAACTTCCCACTGATGTAGAGCACTCGCTTTACAGTTTGTGGATTTCCTTGGTTTCACTGGTGGATTCCGGACCCTAGCTTGTGAATTGCTCCTGGTCAGAGGTGGATGCTTGCATCTTGGAAAGCGTTCAGATGGAAACATTGAAGATGTTGGACTAAAACCAGGTTGCCAAGACTTCCTGGACCAGCAGTCTGCGCCATAAGTCTGTTCCTCGCAGCGCTTTATAAATACTACATGTTATTACTACTGTTACTTCTGCTGTCAATAGCCACAGCGCTAATCCAGGCTTTCATGCAGAGAGCATGGCGATCCTTCGAACTGGAGATACTGGTGGGCCTGCATTTAGGAACTTATGCATGTGTTTTTCTGCTGATCTCTGGTCCTTCCCAAACATGCCTTAAATATCCACACACCCTCTGCTTCCATTGTGAAGAGTGGCCCATTCATTGCGCTGACCCTTTTCAAATAGCCTGAGGTTGGGGTTGAAATGTTGGACTAGAACTGGGGAAAGCAAGATTCAACTCCCTAGACAGTCCCAAAGTGCACAAGTTGGATGTGGACTTGCGGCCCAGCCTACCTCTCACGATTGTTGGGAGGATACAGAAGGGATCAGAACCTGTTTCCCCACCCTGAAGGAAAATGTGGATGTAAAAAAGCAAAAAATCCACTACGGCAGATTTCCGAGCAGTGTGATGGGAGATGGCCTAACCGTTGGCCGCTGCGCCTTCCTCTTGGGAGTCGTCAGCTCTGGCCAACTGCACACGATCCTCCTCCCAGAGCCAGGTCTGCCAGGGCTGATAAGCCCTGGGTGAATTTTCGAGTCTCTAAAAATGACTGTCTGGGAAATGCAGGTGTATTATCTCAGATGCCAGCGGCACCCTTCAAAGGCACGGCAAATCGGCAGCACATCCAGTCACCTGATGCTATTAGAGGCATCACACCATTCCCGTTGTCTGCGATCCGAGTGTGGAATTGCATAGCTGGTCTGCAGTTGCAGCGAAGGCCGGCCAAATGAGGCCCCGCACCGCCTGTCCCCTCCTGCTTTCCACCCCACTGGCTTCTGTGTTTTCCCTTTGGCGACCTTCGTGTTGCCTTCCCCACCTCCGTTTGCTCAGTCCTGCCAGCTGCCTTTACAAAAGAATGGGGCTTCTTGGATGCAGCCGGGAAAGTCTCGTTTCTTGTACTCCCCCTGCCAGAAAAAAGAGCATGCATCTTTCAACAGAATTGATTCTTTCTGTGCAGAACTCTCTTCCTTGGCTTTCTAGCAAAAAGTTTACACATTTGCCGTTCAGCCTTAGTGTTGTCTCCGACTCTTCCTCATGCTGGAATGAGAATTAAAATCTGGAGGCCACGTCTCTTCCGGAAGCCAGCCTCGCCAGAGGTCCAAATATTCTGCTGGTGTCCAAGTACCTGCAATTGATACCTGATGCTTCCTTGGGCCAAAGCAAGCCAGAGGGGTTAATGCATTGTTTTGGGTTTCGATAGCTCTGCTCTGCTCTGCTCTCCAACCTGCCCTATATGCAGTTTGGCCTCTTTCCTCGAGGCATTGCTGCAAATGACTTTTCTGCCAATAAAGCATGCATTCCACAATTCAGACAGCTATGTAGGGCAGAGAAATTAAGCACGGTAGGTCTGCTTTACGTCTGAGAAGCTGGGGATAGACTGGTTTTGATTTGACTTTGTTTTGATCTGATCTGTGTTCAAAGGAAAGCAATTAAAGCCACAAATGCCTATCCTGGTGCTGAGAGCAAGCTAGTTTCTCCGGTGAAGCAATCCATGGAGACTGTGTCCTTGTGCCAGGTCTCCTCCAGCCCTGCCACTGGGGAATCATTTGATTCGGGGAAGAATGTAATTGCATCACTATTTCAGCAAACCATTTGGGGATGCCTGGCTTGTGCAAAGCACTTCTTCAAGGCTGCAGCAACCTGGACATGCATCTGCCACTTGAATTCGCCACCAGTTCTGCTTTGCAGCCCTGGCATTTCCTGCTAAAAGCGGCAAATGAACAGCATATCCTACAGAGGTTCCATGGCTTATCTAGTGGCCGGTGCCTTGGTTTTTCAAGAAGGGTAGAAAAAGCAGCCCGGGATGTGCATCTGTAGGCTTTCACAAGCACTCTTGCCATTTGCGCGCCTGTTCAGGATGCTGGGAAAGTTGTTTATAGGGGAAGATAATGGCTGTTGATGCATCGGAGAGCCCGAATCTTAGCAGGCTCTAAATGGGTGCAGTGACGCCGATTTGCGAGCCAAGTTTGGTGACCCCACAATGGTCCGAAAAGGGCCCAGTGTTTTGCCAAAGGCCAGGGTTCTTTTTGGATCCCAAAGCAATAAGCACACAAGTGGGTTGAAGTCTAAAGATGATATTCTAAAGCAGGCACAATCATATGAAAATTATACAATCCCAACCAAGCTGGCTTTCCTCAATTGGTTGTCGGAGCCCCCCTGGATGACAGCAAGGGCACCCCAATTCGGCTGGCATGCAGCACCTTCCCCGTTAGGGTCTGCTCCGAAGCTCACCTTGGGCGAAGCCACAAGGCTTCTTATCCTAAATTTCAGGGCGCTACGTGCTGTAGAATTACTACGTGCTACTCAACACAGTTAATTGGGCACACCTGCTGTTTGCAAGTCTCAGGATGGTAAGTCCCACTGTTCACGGTATGCTCCTGCATTCCAAGGCCACACCATCCTAAGCAGCAACTGGCTTAGAATAGCACGTTTTTTTCATGCCGGAGAGGCTCAATTGCCCTCCTGCCCCTTGAGATCAGCAACAGATGCCCTCCTCCAGGAACCCTCTGTGAATGATATTCGGAGGGTGAGTACCCAGAGGAGGGCCTTCGCTGCAGTGGCGCCCCATCTCTGCGGTGGCGCTTGGTAGGAGGGTGACCAGCCTGAGATGCTGCTCCTGGCCAACTGAAATCCGCACCACTCCTGGCATCCATACCAGGCCATGTGGGCATCCGGTTCCCAGCCGCCGCTGACGGAGGGCAGCATCTGCAGGTGGATGAGAGGCCTCGAGGACACGCAGTCCTCTTCCCTCTCCACACGGCTCATCTAACCTCCTGCTTCCCTCTTGTCTCCCCTGACCTTGTAGCTGCAGAAGTGACCCAAGAAACTGTGGAGTCCCTCGTGCAGAAGTTCAAGGAGAGCTTCCGGACCAATACACCCATCGAGATCGGGCAGCTGCAGCCGGCACTCCGCAGCTCATCGGTCGGGAGGCGAAAACGCAGAAACCGGACCAGAGGTAACGGACTCCTTCTAGCTTTCCTCCTCCCCTGGCCCCCTTCCCATCCTCAAAGCCACTCACTGCACCAAGCAGGCGGGGTAGTGTAGGAGCCGAAGAATTCTGCGTCTGCTCACTGCCACACATACATGCAGCGCGTCTCAGCCCTTGTCGTTGCTGCGAGGGAGCTGCGCTCATACCTAAAAGGCACTGAATCCCCAGAGCTGGGGATTGGAAATGGTATGGAAATGTGGTAAACAGTTATAATACAATCCCAGATAAAAATTGGAGAACCACTTCACTCTTATCCTCAAAAGGATCCGTACCTTTTCTCGATCAATCCCGTGAACGATAGATAAACGGAATCGCTGCTGCAAGGTAGAGCGTTGGTGTTCGTTTCCTGTGTTCCATCCTTCCCTTTGCTCAGACTGAGCTCGTGCTTCCTGGGCAGTAGCATTACTTCTGGCATGACCTTCGCCTTGGCTGTGAAACAGGTTTTGGTGAGGAGAGCTGCACCGTCATTCATAGAGGGTGCAAGTATCAGTGCTTCACGGGGCCTCAGCCCCTCTGAGCCCTTTGGCTTCAGTATCGTCCAGCTGCAATTCGGCCATCCCAGAAAAGGTCGGCTTTCCCAGTCCGAGCTGGAGATGCCATGGATTCAACCAGGACCCCCCGTCTGTGGAGCATGGTCTCCGCCATTGGGCTAAGGCTCAGCAAGCCACCCCCGCCCCTTCTTTTGCCTCTCATCAGCGTGCCTAAGCAAAACCAGACCGATGGCAGAGGTGACTGGAAATCTTTGGAGGAAGGGAGGGAGCATATTATGTAGAAAAGTCTTCAGAATTTCCCAGAGTTTGGGTGTTTGGGATGCTTCCCCATTCTGCTAAATTTCTGCACTGTGTTCCATATGTTGACAACGGGGTCAGTGCTATTTTCTGAAGGTGCTCCTGTTTCATATTGGATTCGTAGCTGCATTGGGATGCTTAGATAAAGTCTCAGGTGTCAAAAGAGTTTCTGGGATGAATCTTGCCTGCCTGCCTGCCTGCTGGCTGCCTGCCTGCTTTCCTTCCTTCCAAACGACTCTTATTCCACAGTGGGTCCCTTGGTGTTGCTTTCCCCTCCTGCAGCATCGCTACAGCCAGCCCGGCATACGTACTCGTCCCACTTAGTGAGTAGAAAGGATTTCCTCCCCGCCATTAGTAAGAATCCCTAATTCAGCACCCAAAGCCTCCTGCCTGGGGCGGTTGCCATTTTGTTACCCCCAGTGATCAACACTGTCATGGCTCAGAAGCTGCCCGGTTGACTAGTGGAGGTGTCATGCCTTAATGGGACTTGACTTCCTGCTCCTAATAGCCTCCCCTCTTAACTTTTTCCGCTGACTAAGTTCACCCAACTCTGGGTGGTTTGGATTTCCACAGGAGATGAATGCCTCCAAAGTGTGCCTTTTTTTTCTCACCTAAATTGCCATTTATAGGAGATGTTCTGATGGATTTTCTCGGAGGTAGACATATGATTTTCTTAAACCCCTCTCCCCCTTAAAAATTATTTATTGCAATTATTACATGGCATTTCTATACTGCCCGTAGCCAAAGCTTTCTAGATGGTTCACAACATTTAAGTCCCCCATCCAGATTTCAGCCAGGCCTGACCCTGCTTAGCTTCCAAGATTAGGCAGCATCAGGCACTTCAGGCTATAGGGAAGCTAGACAGAACTACCATGCTAATTTAGAGGGAGGAATCCTTTGCCCCCATACTGGGGAAGTTCAAAGTGCCTTGCATTTCTCTGCGGTGGCGCCCCATCTGTGGAATGCGCTCCCCAGAGAGGTCCGCCTGGCACCGTCGTTATTTGTTTTTCGGCACCAGGCTAAGACCTTTTTATTCAAACAATATTTTAGTAATGTTTAATATTTATAGGTTTTAATTGTGCAGCTGGGGTGTTTCCTGATTTTAACTGTATTTGTACTATATTTATTTATTTGTGTGAGCCGTCCCGAGGCTATATAGCAAGGGGACAGCATACAAAAACTTTAACTAAATAAATAAATTAAAATGAAACCGGCCCACAAAAATGGAGAGCAGGTAGGAAATGAAAACCCCATCAAAGTAGAGAGTTGCGAACAGCAGCAAGCGATTATAAACAATGGAGGCACTGCCCAAATTAAATCTAAACGTTAAGCAGCTTTTAATGTTGGTAACACTTTTCTATGGGATGCTGTTACTCAAAGGAGAGATGGTCCTCCAATTGACCGGTTAATATTGAGTTTCTCCTCCCTTTTTTATTTCCTTAAAGATAAATATTATAATCACTTTAATTTAAATTACCATTAATCATATTCCTCCAACACACACACACACCCCTCTGACTTAGGCTGGCTTTTCATAATCAAGTTCATGAACTTGAGTAACACAGCGGAAGCTTTGCTAGCTCCACCACTGGGCTTGGAGTCTCCTCACCCTTTCCAAATCAGTTCCATGAAGGTTGCAGTTCACGTTCAGATCCTGTATTTATTTATTATTTATTTTTTTATATACCATTAAATCATTACAAAATCTCAAGGCAGTTATCACCTGCCACATGATCCATTTTTTACGGGCATGGTATACATTGCCCCTCAGGTAATCTGAGATCAGCTCGCTCCTGCTTTTCTGCAGCCACCCAAGCAAACCTGGAATTGTCCGTATACCCGCGTGTGAGCATCCAAACCCAGCAGCTTTGAGGCACAAGCTAAACCCTTTAGACCTCTCCTTACTGGGTGACAACAGCACCAAATCCAAACACAGAGCTTCAGTTGTCTCATCTGACTGGTCATTTGGGATACTTTTGTGTCTCCCTAATAAAATTCCGGACTCCCTGGAGAAGGCAGTCATGTTAGGGAAAGCAGAAGGCAGATGGCAAAAGGGAAGACCAGATATGAGATGGATGTTCTCCACCATGGAAGCCACAGCCTTGAAGTTGGAAGAGCTGAATGCGGCTGGTGTGGGCCAAACATCTAGGAGGGCTTCCATTCATAGGGTCGCCGTAAGTTGGAGGTGACCTGGCGGCACATGACAAAGCTCACCAAACCAGGTTGTGCAGGTCTCTTCCGGAATCGGGAAGGTGAGAAAATATCTCCCTGGCCATGGAAATTATGCACCCATCCCCTGGATGGTTACAAGAGTCACATGTTAACTTCTCTGTAAGGTGGGATGAGGTTGGAGTTCCCGTCTTAATAGCATTTCTGGGGCTTTTGGGATGTGACATGGAGGAAAACAATGACTGTGGCAAAATTCCAGCTTCTTGAGTGAAGGTGTGCTCCTGAAATTCCCCACCATATATTTGGGTAGTGAAATTGTGTGTGTGTGTGCACGTGTTCCACTCAATGTCATTGGGTGGGGAGAACTGTTTTCTGGGGACTCACCCCACCATTAGAAGCTTCAGAGTCTTCTATTTTTTCCCTTTGATTGGTGTTGGAAGTCTGGCCTCCATTTTGCTTCTTCCATAGTATCTTCTGGGGAAATGTGTGTAGCACAAAACAAACAAGCTGACAAAATGGCCCTCTTTTTCGGAACAGAAAGAGAAACTTTGCAGAAATTTGAGCAGATAATCTCTTTGAGAAATTGGAGGCCAGCGTTCGGGCTCCTATCTTGGCTTCTGGTGGTGACCCCAAGTGATCCTTTGTACTGAAAGATTTACTGTTTGCTTCAGCTTAGCATGATTGAACTGTTGCCCTTTGAAACTGCCTAGAAGCCGAACAAAAGAGAAGACCTCCTCTCTTTACTCTGTTTTCAGATTTTAGTGGTTTATCTGTTTGTTTTGCTTTCATCGCTATGTGCGTGGTGGGTTGTCATTTATTTATGAGCCTGAAATATGATCCCCCCTCTTTTTTCCCTTTCTTATTCTGTGTACATTTTTCGTGTATAAGCCTGGAGAAACTTATTTTGTTATGATAGTTTGGGCCATAAATTATTCACTTAGCAAGTGGGAAAATGTTTCTTTCTTTTATATGGTTTAAATGATTTATTCTATTTTGTTTCTGCATATTCAAACAAGATATTGGCTGTGGCCAACCTTGCCTTTTTGGGGGAAGTGGACTCAGAAAATTTCTGGAACCTCTCCATCCTTTCCCCAGGAAAATGCCTGATTTTTTCCTTTGGAGCATCTCCTTGTAGAGTTCAGAGCACAGGTGTTCAAATGTGGGGGTTGCTTAACTCTTACCTGAGAGTGAGGGTTACACTATTGGCTAAACTACTTTGCTGGCCAACATCACCTTGGGCTTTTCAAGGTTTTCATGGTGGCACTTTTTGGTCTCTGGATCATGCGAGGAACTAGGTCCTTCTTTCCTCTTCCATGGTGTTGTGCTAGGACACAACCTTATTGGCCACTTCTTCAACTCAGTCCAGTCAACTCAGGATCTGCCAGTTTGCATCTTCTTCTGCTGGTTGCCACTAATTCACATTATTTTTCCCCACACCAGGATCTGACAATTGGCTTGCTTATTACATTAAATCCCACCTTCCCCCCAAGACTTAAGGCGATGTACCCTACATCATGCTCATCCTCCTTTTATCCTTGAGATCTTCAGTATAGTCAGGGTATAAATGTTTTAAATAAAGAAAAATAAATCCACATAACAACCTTGTGAGGTAGGTTAGAGTCCAACCTCCGGGTCACCTAGTAAGCTTCCATCATGTGCATGTGTAAATTTTTGGCATCTTCAGAGATGGGCAAACACAACAAATTCCAACTCATCAGGATGCACTTGAAAAGAGCCTTTTGAAAAATGCTGTGTCCACTGGACAAAGTACACAGAACTTGTATGCAACCAGTCACATTGGCTGTCGCACTGTTACTCAGGCATTTCCCATGAAGGAACCACACTGGCCAGAGCCTCCGGGATATACATTCCCTTTCCCTTCTCCTCTTACGGCTGCAAGAAGGACATTGGAAAGTTTAGAAGCAAAACCATGATCACAGTTTGGCCTGAACGGTGAAAACTGAGCGGTTAAACTATGGTTTAATCCTGGCTTGTTCCAACAAACCATAG